GCGTTGTGAGGAGAAGGTTTCCTCTTCATGACCGGACTCAACGCGAACAGGCAAAGGAGAGCCGCGAAGGTGACAAGCCGGGGGTACATGATCCCTGCAGTCTTGGGTGTGTGCGACAAGACAGACGGGAAGTCAAGGCGTATGACACCATGATTGGCAGTCGAATTGCATATCTATCTATAGAAGTCCAATAGTTCGCAGTTGGCAGTCAACTTGCGTATCTATAGAAGTCCCATGGTTGGCATTTGGCTGCGTGTAGTAGTCTATGCATAGTATGCCGTACAAGTACATGTGTTTCACCGTAGATCCTGTCCAGAAAAAAAGTGCAGGGAAGACACGCCCTGACAAGAGATTCGATGACGATGTGTGCCGACTACTCTGTGGGTCCTCGGTCAGTCTGGGAGACCAAAAATAAATTTGTGCAACCTCGCTACAGCAGTACAGCAGTACTTGTAGTTCTGCAAGCTGGTTGGTACACATCCTGATGAGGCTGACCTCTTGCGAGATGTGTGGCCTGTATACTACGGGCAAGAAGAGAAAATTTCATGTGCCTATACTATCGGGTTCATGTATCTATGTATGTGGAATTTTGAGAAAAGACCATGCCACTGACCATGGTGACTGCTCACAATCAGCACAATCAGTCTGGAAGAGACAAAAAAATAATCTGACAAACGCGAGTGGTCCACAGACTACTGTATACGCTGCTGTGGTCCACAGTCAGTCTGGAAGGAGAAAAAGAAATATTGTACACACATCCTGATGAGGTTAATTGAGTGCTGGTGGAATATGCTTTGCCTTCGAGCAATTGCCTTGCCTTGTCACCCACAGCAGTGGTTATCGGCAAACGTTTGACGCATCTTTCAGGTACGTTGTCTGGGCTGTGTCCAAAACCGTCGACATTCGTGTATGATTCTGAACCAACCGTGGACGTTCATCCTTCCCGTCGTGGGTGCGGCGGTACTTGCGACCAGTGGGGGTAGGGCTGGGAGGCAATGATGAGGGAGGGGTGGTTCGGTTGTTCGCGCACGGGGCAGATCTACGCATAACTCATACATCAACGGACGCGTTCTAACACGCTCACGCAAACGCTAGCACCAAACTCGCAGGAGGGGCGAAACGGGCCAGGAGAGACACCTCTTCCAACCCACACGAAAATGTGTCCACGGAATCTCGAGAAATGTCGACCCAAGAAATACAACTTTAGTCAGATAAGAGACCGGAGAAGAGCCTACTCTAAAAACAAGTGAAAATAACGAGAGTGGGGTCACTTTTTGGTACGGTCACATTTCAGTGGGGTCGTTCAAAGTGGGGTCGTTTCCGAATATGGGTTCTGCGAATATCGGCGACAGAACGGGAATCCCTATCGGGCTTCAGAATAGCCTGAGGTGAGCAGGCCAATAGCGGGATCCTCCTCCTCTTGCGACAAGTCGTTGCGTTGAACCTCATCGAGGGCCACCAAGGCCGTAGTCAGCGCGGTTGCTGGCAGCAGGGCATCACCCACACCGGTTGCGGCCACCCCAGGCTGCTGATGTAGAATGGAGTCAAGCAAGTGCCACTTCTGCTGCGAGTGAGCTGTGACAGCGATGGCAGCCATTTCTAGGTGAGTGATGTGTTTGAGTGTATCGTCAGGGTCGGCGCGTGATGCAAAAAAACGATGACCTTCTTGACAGGCGCAACCGACCCAAAAGTTTTCCAAAAAAAGACGTGTAGCCGGTGCAAAAAGGGTTGGCTTTTCTTCCCTGCCCTTTTTCTAAAAAGAAAAACGAAAGGAGGAGAGAGATCGTTGGTCGGTGATATTTTGATGGGAACAACAGATCGCCAACGAAAGGACCCGTAATGAACGACCGAATGGTCAATTTTTCCTTTCAACGGTTTTCCAAATGCCCAACAAATAGCAGCTCTACCGTCAATAATATGTACGGCCACATCGGCCACAAAAAAGTACACCAGACATATATTTCTATGTAGTCCGCATAGTCAATAATACGATGACTACAGCTGTGTTGTGTGCTCTTGAATGGCTCCACCTATATCGGCTTCTAGATCACCAGGGACGAAGCGAGAAAAATGAAGGTTGGTGGGAACCAGCGCTAGAAACCCGTAACCCTCGCGCCCGATCCCCCCCAAAGTTACTTCTGTCCCACTACTCGCACGTAAGCTGTACCAAGCTGGGGAAATCCCACTATTATAGTGCTATTTAACGCCGGGGTCTGGAATGACCCAAGTCTCCACATCGCACTCGACCATTCAGCAACACCACCGCCCACGTGCAGTCAACCGTTATTGAGGTCTTCCAGGTAGATGTTGTGGCGCGGTACATCGGTATGAAACGGCGATAAAACAACTTGCTACGGCTATCTTCGCCAACCTGAGCGTGCCCAACTTTCGATCACAACGCCCCACCCTTCCGCGACCTCGAGACTCCAAGGGCGAGCCGAGCTAGAGCACCGTGAAGTACGCATATCTCTGACTTCGCAACGACACCACGGCGAATCTACGCACAGCACTGTCGCCTCTAAATAATTGTGCCAGCCATTAACTTTAAACGTTTGCTGCCAACAGATTCTTTTATGGTACTTACGCACAAAATAGACAAGAGTGAGGTTGTACATTGTGCCCACCACTCGGTTTCAGTCTGCGGACGGTGATCGATCACAGTCCTCTCGCTGGGAGTTTTGGCGTTCTTGTGCCAACGAAACCCATCCGAAAGAAAAGAAAACTGCTGCTCAACCGCCAAAGACGTTGTACCACCCGCAACCTGCCCCAGCCCACTCAGCAGATGCACAGCCGGCCCAATTCTAGTCGCTGGCTTTTGGGATCTCTCTACCGTAGTTGTGCGTGTTACGGCACCAGGGTGCGATTGCTGTAAATTTTCCAACGCACCCCCGGTGCGATAACACCGATGGGTGCGATACGCAACAACACACAGTGACCCTTCAACAGTCCCTGAGTGCAGGTAACCCCGTGCGATGACCGAGAGAGGTGCTGAAGAAACAAACACAGGTGCTTCCTGGTACAACGAAGACAGCTTTGGCCGGGTCGAATGCGAGTTTGGGTATACTTGTACCAAGGGCGAACGACGATGGGGTTCCCTCTGGGAGAGGTCTTCCAGCCTCTTGTGAGTCACAAGGCTCTATTGTTGGCTGGTGTATTTCCATCTGTCGCTGTTGTCTTCCTCGGGGGACATGGTACAACCATAAATACAGGCAAGGGTGGTAGCCACCCAGCCAGTCTCTGAAGTCGCCAGTCCCCTTAGTTTTTACTTTTATTCTCCCAGAAGTGAAGACTGTTTCATACGCAAGTTGTCTTCTGGCTTTTGAATTTGGGGGGTCCTTTTCTGATGCCAAAAATAATTTGGGCTGCATATGCGGAGGAAAATGGAAAATTATCACAGCCCAAAAGCTCACAGCCCGAATATTTCCAAGTTCCAGTCGGCCTGTTAAAAAAATGGCCCAATCAGCGATATTCCAACCCGATCGCTGTTAGAAATGGGGGGGCGTCACCCCCTGGTCACGCCCCGATCGTGCCAGAACCAGGAACTACACCGTGTGTTGGCCAAACAGAGGCCAGTAACATGAGGTCATGCACAAACCCCCTGCAGGTATCTAAAATGCAGGGCGGTCTGCATCGTGGTGGCCCCACACGAGCCGAAAACGTCAACCCTGCCACATTGCTTTGCTGATGTTCTTGCCTTTCGGCCGAAAAGTGCCTTTCTTGCGCCTGCTGCACGTGTGACCAGTTGAAAACGAACGCCGGAGAGAGGCTTTAGGTCGTCGACATCCACCAACTACAGCTAATGGCGTGAGGTCATACATATACCCTCTGCTCGCGTCCCAGAAACAGAGCGTATTGTCCAGGTTTGACTGCACACGCCCTGCAAACGTGGACTTAAGTGTGTTTCGGTGTTGACCTTTTGGGGTTTTTTTCTTTTTCTGCCGCATGTGTGCTCCGTGTGTCACCCGCTACAAGTGAACAACGCATGCCAGAGGCAGGCTCAAGGCCGATGACATCCACAAACTGCAGCTAATGGGTGGTCATAGACATACCCCCTGCTCGCGTCCCAGAAACAGAGCGTATCGTCCAGTGTATTGTCCAGTTTTGATTGCACACTGCCTGCAAACGTGAACCGAAGTGTGTGTTTGGGTTTTTGGACGTTGCCTTTTTTTTCTGGTTGCTACGAGTGTGATCAGTACACAACGCATGCCGGAGAGAGGGCTTTTGCCGATGACATCAACAAACTGCAGCCTATAGCGTGCGATCATACACATGCCCTCTGTGGGCGACCCAAAAACAGGGCGCTCGGGGTCTTGTTGGTTGCACACGAGCAAAAACATTCAACTGAAGCATGCTGTCAACCCACAAAACACTTGAATCGGCCCTTTTTTCCCCTGAGAATAAACAACCTGACTCGAGAAACCGTGAGAAGGCGCTTGGATCCGGATACCTTTTCCCGTGCAAACCACCCCCCCCCCCGAGAACGAGATAGAAAATGTCCCCGTAAGTAACCGCCCAAGGGTGACAAGGCACAGGGTTCGTAGCGACAAGTATTCAGCTTGTTGTTCCCCAGGAATGAAAAGTAGAGATTGCAGTCTCAGGCACATGGAAAGAGAACACCAGTTTTCGTGAGGCAGGCAAGCTCTTCGCGGGAACGATGCTACCATCTGCTGGAGGTGCTTGGCCGTGCCGGCCTGCAACTTCATACTGATGAGAACCACAAGGTTTGCCTACACGAGGAAATATACATGGCGATGATGGTAATGAGACACACTCCGGTGTGCGTCTCGGGTGCAGCCTCGGGCACAGCGAGCAGATAGAGGAGTTGTCGTGAAGGTCTTTGGGGCCACTCTTCGCAAATAACAGCCTGTGTGCTGAAGTTCGCGGTCCCACCAACTCACATCACATAGGCAGGTGCTCATTTCGCAGAGGCTGCTGCGTGTAGCGGCGAAGCGCGTTTCACCTGTTGACATTCTAGCGTCATGAAATGCATGTTGGCTTACTTGCGGTTCTTGACGATCGCCAAGAGGTTGAACCGGATCTCTCCGGCGGAGTGTCTCGCGATGCGCTCCTCGATCGCCGGGGACGCCACGCTTAGCCAGTCGTCACCGTGGATTCCAGAGCAAGAAGCGCTAGCGAGGTTTCCACCATGCCCAGGGATGTCGCCAAGATTCACTGGCCCAGACTTCAGACCATCCAGCTCAAAAACCTACCGAAAACAATCACCGGGGGTCCGTCAGCTGGCAGGTAACACACGCGCACAGCGTTAGGCTGCCCGCAGACTTACGGGCAAGTAGTACCAACCACAAACGCCAGATGCAGGCCACAAGGTTACCGCGGGTAGAAAGGGAGAACATTTCAAAGAAGACCACTCTCGGTTGCTTTCTCCGGCGCTCTTTGAGCTCAGCAGGTGGAAGACGGGCAAAGTACAAAGCTCCCGATATCCAATGTGACAAGGGCTATCTGCACATCTTCTTGGAATTGCCTGTGACAGTTGCGTGTGTGTTGTTGTGCTCGCACAAACAGGGGACTCTTAACTCCGCACGGTGACCATTCCCACCTCGAAATATACTTGGCAGGGATCCTATCGACTGGCAGTGTGCATCCGCTCCGTTGGTCGCTCTAGTACGCGTTGAAAGCAAACTTTCTGCCGTGTTCACATGCTCGATGTCGTACACAGCAGTGTGTCGGGTGTGCTTTGTGGTCAGAGTAGATACTTCCCGAGAACCAAAACGTGAAAAGAGCGAAAACATAATTTGCTCCTATGTCAGTTTGTGGCACATCATGCTTAGAACAACGCGTACAGCACCGACAACCCCCTAACAGGAAACTCATGCACTCAGACGTTTATATGCATACACCGGCCGACAATGCACTCCATGCCGGGGGACAAACTGGAGAACATGTGTTCAACATCGAACTCCTGTTCTACCCTGCGTCAGGCTGGCTCTCTATCCTTTCAACCATGGAGATCATCCGCTGACTTGCACCAATTCCTATATGTAGTTTTATGCATACAACTTCTTAGGCGGTGGCCGGAGCATGAAGAAACCGGTTGAACTCTAACACGAACCCGAACTGTATCCCACACGTAAGAGGTTGGTTGGCGTTGGGTGGATAAGTTCAAGGTTGGTGTGCCAGCATAGGTGGCACAGGTGCTAGTCTGGTATTGATGAGGTAAGTTCCAGGTTTATGTTGCCGGGACAGGGTCGAGGTTGCTAGGTCGGTACTGGGTAGGTGCTAGGTCGGTGGTGCTTGGGGTAGATCTAGGTCGCGGTGCAAAACATTTCGTTCAGGTCTGCACAGGAAGGACTACAATACCAGTCAAACATTTGAGCCCACCCGACACTCTGTGTACAATGCAAATGAGAGAAAAAACCGCCGTATCGCAATATCTTTGCTTGTGGATAGTTGGTGGGTGAGACAACAAAGAAACTTTAGCCGATGCCGACTACTGAATATTAAAACCATCGAATTTGCCAAAGGCGTTTTTGTTCCTGTATTTGGGGTACCAGAATTGGAAGAGAACCCTTTGGGGTGATTACTCTCTCAGAGAACCCACGAGTAAGGAGAAGGCACACCAGGCAGCGTAGAACAGGAAGGCTGCACAGTAGTAGGTGAACTGAGAGAGAAGGACTGGTCAGGTCTGCAGGTCAAGAAGTCGGGTTCTTCTGCGTTCTTGGCGTTAGCTTGTTGTAGCTAAGAGGTCAGGGCCTGGCGAGGATAGGACGCGCGCTTCACCGACGTGATCAACGACGAACGCGGGAGGTGGGGCTGAGCCACCGAATCGGACGCAATTGCAGCCCGCCCTCGCTGGTACGTCTGACATGTTTCTTTGAAAACGATAGCATCGCACGGCGAAGCCATGCTGTTCATGTCGTTGGCATTTTGTCGTCTTTCTGATAAGCTCCCAACCGTTTGAGACACAAGACACCACACGCACGGAAGGGCGGCGCTGCTTCAAATTGCAGCGTGCAATTTGCCGCTGTGAGGTCATTCGTGACCATCGCAGCTGTCGGTCAGTGACCGAAGCGCAGAAGCCCCCGATAGGCATCGCCGCTGAACAACATTTCTCGAATAGACTTCTATGTGCGAAGAATGTTTCCACCAAGAGGTTTATCTTGCATACCACTCAGCCGTCAAAAGCAGCCAAAGAGCAGCGGGGTGGATACGGTAAACACATACAAGCTTGCCGTTGTGGTATAAATGATGACCACAGCTGTCGGCCCAAGGGCCGATCGGCAGTAGCTGGTAAAGGATGAGATGTGCGTTCTGTGGCGTTGCATGTTCACGTGCTTCCTTTTTCATTGTGGTACGCAACTACATCGTGAGACGAACACCACCGTTTAGATGCAACAAGACACATGAGAGATACTGGTTCAAATTGCCGCGCCGGCGTGTGCGCGTATGCTTACACGCGGTGCAATTTGCCGCTGCGAGGCCACTGGTGACCATCGCAGTTGCTGGTCAGTGACCGAAGCGCAACAAAGTAGTCCCCCCATAGGTATCCCCGCTGAACACCATTTGTCGCTTTCATTCACGATAAAGGTTGACTACATTCGGCTGTCCACAGCTGTCCAAGAGCAGCGGGGCAGATACGGTAAGTCAATTTACGAGATACTGATACAAACTGTGCACAGACATGCCGTTTTGCCGTTGTGGATACATCATGACCGCAACTGTCGACCAAGAAGGGCAGAGCGGTGTTCTCGTACATGATTCCATTCGGACGCCACCGTTTAAAAAATATTCTTGTATATACGCTGTTGCAGACGCATGCCTAATCCAATGATTTTTGCAGCGACATTATGCGGGACGTGTTGCCATCGAGGGGCTGCTTTCGGCAATCACTTGCCTGTCGACAACTGTCTGTCAGCGGCGGAGCAGAGAAAACCCATACCACGCGGTACTGATTCAAACTAAAATTTTGTTCGATGGTATGCAGTCAAGCAATGGAGGGCAAATCTCCCTCCACAGATATATCGCCGCCGAGGGGGTATTTTCGTGTTTTCCTTTTTGGCGGTCTTTTTTGCAGCACCATCATCGAAATGGAAGACACACAACCCCGTTTTTCCACTGACCCAACGAAGAAAATGGTAAACTTTACCAACACAGACGTATCTGAAAGAAATATATCTCCGAAATACTTTTTGGCTGCAGCAGCCTCACGCTATCTTGCGTGTTTGGGACAGAACAGCAAGTGCACCGACGTCTACTCCAGTCAGAGTTCAGAAACTTCACGCTGACTCCACGCTGCTGCTCTCTGTTTGGCCAGCTAGTATTTCATCTTCCGCTCCGCACAAAACTCAAATTTCAACAGTCTCTGCCATCTTCTGCGTTGCGTGTCTGTTCCGTGATGAGTTTTGCGGGTTGTCCGTCTGTTGAGAACATACACGATATTGAAAGAAGACTAGCTAGGCGCTGGAGCTCAACACACGTGGCACATTGCAACTGCATCAAGGAGAACAAATAAATACCCCCACGGACATTATTGGCATCCGTTGGAATTCGATAAGTAGCGATGGAGTGTTTTTCTTCAACTAGCCAACTACACGGCAGTTTTGTTCTTGTACAGTCCCGTGTGTGCCGCAAACATAGCACAGCTGTCGACCACAGATGTAAACAGCGGTTTTCCATGGCCGCAAAGGGGACCAAGGGTCTTGATGTTGGTCATGGGAACACACCACGCGACACAGAAGTCCTCTCGCAAAACTCTGGCAGCGGTCATTTAAATTTCAATTCCGACAAATCGAAAAATTCAAATATGTGGGAAGCAGTCTACGTGATCCTTTGTGTTTGCGGGAAATTGTCCCACATAACATGGGACACGATCACACAAGACTAAGCGATCGAACGTAGCGGGTTACAGCAGTAGGACCTGCAGCAAAGACGCCACGAGCCTAAAAGCACACACTCGCGCGCACGCGAAAAGTCACGGCGGGAGAAAACGAAATACCGCGTACATACATGATGCAAATTCCAGGCAAATTATGCAGGTCGCACGCGAAATCGGCCCTACCGAACGTCATGACGTTGAGATGCAACCATGCCACCGCGACGACATTGATTGGCCATCATGTCCTCTTGCGTCGCCCCCCGGAGGCAAGTCACCTAACTCCCGCAGGGGAACCTTGAATGCAATGTAGTACTTCGACTTATTGGGTGGTCGCCTTCAACTTTCTTCGCTGGGACAACGATTTTTCTCGCACTTTCTTCTGCATTGCGCGCAGAGGACCCGTCGGTACATTACAAGTTCCGTGTGGGACTCGCGAAACACCGGTGGTGCGCGTTAGGGCCGCCTAAAGTTGCTGGGACTGGCTCCTCTGTTCAGATGAAAACTGAAACCATAACTTTTTTTTTAACCCCGCACCACGCGCCACGCACCCACGCGCCTACACAGCTGCTGTGATTGTTGTACACACACACACCACACAGCGACTGGCGCATGCGTACCCGCAGCGGGGACCAAGACTCTTGATGTTGCTCTTGGAATACACCACGCGAAACAGAAGTCCTCTCCGCAACTCTGGTATCGGTCACTTGAATTTCAATTCCGAAATATCGAAAATTCAAAATATACAAGTTGTGGTACTGTAGCAGTCTACGTCTGTAACTGTTCTTGGGCACTTTGAGCGTCTCGTTATCCGTTGTTGGTATTTGCGTGAAAAAGTCCCACAGGCCATGGGAAACACGATCACACAAGAACAGTAAGTGATCAAACGCAGCGGATTGCAGCAGTAGGACCTACAGCAAGGACGCCGCTAGCCTAAAAGCACACACTCGCGCACAAGCGGAAAGTCACGGCGGGAGAAAATACCCCGCACATGGTGCAAATTTCGGGCAAATTACTTCGTATTTATGTTGCACGCACACCGGCACTACCGAATATCATGACGACCGACCATCCATGCGACAGCGATGACATTGAGTGGTCACGTCTTCTTGCGTCGCCCCCGGGAGGCAAATCACTTGACTCCCGCAGGGGAACCTTGTAATAATATGTATCATTTCGCCTGTGCTTGTGCTTCGGGACATTTTTCGCTCGTGAAAGTCCATCTTTTCTCACGCTTCCTTCTCAGGGGCACGAAGGGGGATCGTTGGTACATTGATGCGCATGCCCGAGGACCGCCAGCCCCGCGTGGCGCATGTACTTGACGCTCAAAGTTGAAAACGCTGGCTCTACACCCCGGGGACGTATTCTGCGCCACAAAAACCTTCGCAGGGTCTACCAAAATTTCCAAGGGTGTGCTTGGTAAGGTAGCGGTACGCTCGGTAGGTATTGAGATCTCAAAGAAGCGTACCGAGAATTCTGGTAAGGTATTGAAATCTTACCGAAGCGTGCCAAGAATGTCGGTCAGGTATTGGAATATCAATTGCCTTGTTCATGCAGGGCTGCCTCTAATCCAAGGTCCGCCTTCCTTTACGGAAACCTTACAGGTCGAGTGATGTAGGAGATTGTCGGACACATATACGTGTTGAGTGATAATAGCTGTATACTGAAACCCCACGGGTTGAGTGAGGTTTGAGATTGCCAGACACATGAACGGGTTGAGTGGGGATAGCTGCCTACTGAAACCCTATGGGTGGAGTGATGTTGGAGTGCCGGACACATAGACGCGTTAAGTGAGGATAAACACATGAACCTCACAGGTGATTTGTGATGGAGATTGCCGGACACATGGGCGTGTTGAGAGAGGATAGCTGCATACTGAAACCTCACAGATGCATTGGTTGTTGAGTTTGCCAGACACATAGACGCGTTGAATGGGGATAGCTGCATACTGAAACCTCACAGATGCATTGGTTGTTGAGTTTGCCAGACACATAGACGCGTTGAATGGGGATAGCTGCATACTGAAACCTCACAGATGCATTGGTTGTTGAGTTTGCCAGACACATAGACGCGTTGAATGGGGATAGCTGCATACTGAAACCTCACAGATGCATTGGTTGTTGAGTTTGCCAGACACATAGACGCGTTGAATGGGGATAGCTGCATACTGAAACCTCACAGATGGACTGGTTGGTGAGTTTGCCAGACACATGGACGCTTTGAGTGAGGATAGCTGCATATTGAGACCTAACGGTTTGAGTGACGTTTGCGACTGCCGGACACTTGGACGCATGGAGTGACGAAAGCTGCATACTGAAACCTCACAGATGGACTGGTTGGTGAGTTTGCCAGACACATGGACGCTTTGAGTGAGGATAGCTGCATATTGAGACCTAACGGTTTGAGTGACGTTTGCGACTGCCGGACACTTGGACGCATGGAGTGACGAAAGCTGCATACTGAAACCTCACAGATGGACTGGTTGGTGAGTTTGCCAGACACATGGACGCTTTGAGTGAGGATAGCTGCATATTGAGACCTAACGGTTTGAGTGACGTTTGCGACTGCCGGACACTTGTACGCATGGAG